GGCTCCCTGCTCTGCGGGAAGCCTGCTTCTCCCTCTCCCACTCCCCCTGCTTGTGTTCCCTCTCTCACTGTGTCTCTCTCTGTCAAATAAATAAAGTCTTAAAAAAAAAAAAAAAAGAAACAACATCAAGACTTACACTGCAGGGCAAAAATGGGGAGTAAATAGAGGCACTTGGGTGGTGCAGTTGGTTAAGTGTCAGACTCTTGATTTCGGCTCAGGTCATGATCTCAGGGTAGTGAGATTGAGCCCCGTGTCAGGGCTGTGCTGGACGTGAAGCCCGCTTAAGATTTTATCTCTCTCCCTCTACCCCCACCTCCTCTGCCCCTCACACACACAAAAAAAGGTGGGGAGTAAATAGACTTTAGTAAAATAATCCAGCCAGTCATTAAAGAAATAAGCAAATAACAAAGTGCCCTGGGTGGGGGGGGGGTGCCAGTACCCAGTGTTGCTACATTATATTATCTAAAATGTCCAGTTTCCAACAAAAAATTATGAGACATACAAAGAAACAGGAAAGTATGACCTACACAGCAGAAAAAAAGGCAACAGAAACTGCCTGTGAGAGCAAACAGATATCAGATTTGACAGGTAAAGACTTCAAATTAGCCATATAAATATGTCCAAAGAGCTAAAAAACAAAACAAAACAAAACAACTCATGATTAAAGAAATAAAGGAAGGGCCTGGGTGGCTCAGTCGGTTAAGCGTCTGCCTTCAGCTCAGGTCATGATCTCAGGGTCCTGGGATCGAGCCCCACATCGGGCTCCCTGTTCAGCACTGCTTCTCCCTCTCCCCCTGCCTGCCGCTCCTCCTTGCTTGTGCTCTCCCTCTCTCTCTCTGCGTCAAATAAATAAATAAAATTTTAAATAATTTTAAAAAAAGAAATGAAGGTAAAAAAAGAAGTAAAGGAAGGTAAGACTATCAATAAAGAGGTAGAAAGTATAAAAGAGAACCAAATGGTAATTCTGGCATTGAAAAGTATAATAACTGAAATGAAAAAATTCACTAAAGGGGCCCAACAGCAGATTTGAACTGGAAAAATAATTAGTGAACCTGAAATAGATCAAAAGAGACTATGCAAGCCAAAGAACAGAAGAGAAAAAAGATGAAGAAAAATGAATAAAACCTCAGAAAAATATGGGACACCATTAAGTGCACCAACATATATGGGAGTACCAGAAGGAAAGGAGAGAGAAAGGAGCAAAAAAAATATTCAAAAAAATTACGGCTGGGGTGCCTGGGTGGCTCAGTAGGTTAAGTGTATAACTTCATAACTTCAGCTCAGGTCATGATCTCAGGGTCGTGAGATCAAGCCCTGCATCAGGCTCTGAGCTCAGTGCAGAGTCTGCTTGAGAGTCTCTCTGTCCCTCTGCCCAACCCCCCCACCTCTCCAAAATAAAGAAATCTTGGGGTGCCTGGGTGGCTGAGTCGGTTAAGCGTCTGCCTTCAGCTCAGGTCATGATCCCAGGGTCCTGGGATCGAGCTCCACATCAGGCTTCCTGCTCAGGGGGGAGCCTGCTTCTCCCTCTGCCTCTGCAGCTCCCCCTGCTTGTGCAAGCTCTCTCTCTGTCAAATAAATAAATAAAATATTTTTAAAAAAGAATTATACACGGGGCGCCTGGGTGGCTCAGTCGTTGGGCATCTGCCTTCGGCTCAGGTCATGGTCCCAGGGTCCTGGGATCGAGACCTGCATCAGGCTCCCTGCTCCGCGGGAAGCCTGCTTCTCCCTCTCCCACTCCCCCCTGCTTGTGTTCCCTCTCTTCACTGTGTCTCTCTCTGTCCAATAAATAAATAAATAAAATCTTGGAAAAAAAAAGAATTATACAAAAAAAACAAATCTTTAAAAAAATTATGGCTGAAAAATCCCCAAATTTACTGAAAAAAATTAATTTGCAAATTCAGGAAGCTCAACAAACTCTAAGTCATTTATACTGCCACCTGTACCACCACCATCTGCAAAGAGATCCATAAACAGGTACATCACGGTAAAATTGCTGAAAGCCAGACAAAGAGAAAATCCTAAAAGTAGCAAGGGAAAAGTGACTCCTCACTTATAAGGTAACTCCAAAAAGATTAACAGTTGACCTTTCATCAGAAATAGTGAAGTCAGAAGGTAGATAAGATATTCAAAGTGCTCTACAGTGATGGTTGCACATATCAGTTAATATATTAAGAATCATGAAGTTGTACATTTTAAATGGTTGAATTGTATGGTATGTAAATTATATCTCAATAAAAGCTGTTCTTAAAAAAACTAATAGGATTAGCACAAGTATCAAAATCATTGATCAAAATTCTATTTGTCCTACTGTTAAAGTCAACTGACTGTTTTTAAAAATTGAGATATAACTGACATATAACACTAAATTAGTTTCAAGTGTACAACATAATGATTCAATGTTTGTATATATTGTGAAAGTTGAAGACTATTTTTTACAAACTTGTTTTATTTTTTTCCTAGAGGGAGGGAGGAGGGAGGGGGGCAGAGGGA